AGCTTTATCTGTGGAGGAACCAATATACTCTTCCGGCTGATTTAGTGCCATACTTCAAGCAAATAAATCTAAATCAACCCAGCTGAGTGCAATGAGGCTTCAAATAGCTTTTCATTCAAGTTATCCCATTATCCACTGCTAACATTAACCTTCAGTTAGTGCTCAGGACTGGGAGAGCTATATGGCTTCCTTGTGACATTTAATTTTTCAGAAAAGCTCTATCTATGCCCACCCTGTAGATAGGTGCAGTTGTAGATCTGTGCATCACGTCTTGGCTATTCCAGACCAGGTATTTATGTATCTGTCAATAAGCAATGACTCCCATACCATTCTCTCAAAGGATACCTAGAGTGCATGGCAAGATAATAATTTTTTAATCAATCATATTTTTTCAGTTTACTCGCTTTGAGTCTAGCCCTTCCAATTTTGGTGGCTAGACCATTATTTATAATTGATGCTTCTTTAGGGGAAAAAAGTCTTTACAGAAAAGCTGGCATTTCAGGAAAAAGCACTCTGTTTATGATCCAAGCCAAGCTTTAATAAGTGCAAACTATTATCTGTTTGAAATTTATACACTGTAAGCTGTATTTCATTTGGAAAATTTGCATTTGTCCCATATGTATTCAAGCTAGGAGGCACAAAATAACTTACACAGTTTTTCTTGACTATATAATCTGCCTGGCAGTAATTTTCCTTCATCATCCTGGTTACAGTACAGTTTTCAAGATTTTACCCTGACAGGCAATTTGTGTTGAGAGCCTGTGGAAACACATATGGATTTTTTTGACCTTGAGAAGGAACCATAGTTTGCATAATGTGTATCAATCTAAAAATATGTCCTAATGTTTTCTTCTTTGAAACAAGTTTGGAGTTGTTTTCTGTTTGACCAAAAATGTTTTGGTGAAAAAGTAGAAATCAATTACTATCTGTTTTAACAAAAGAATTCCAAAGACCATGCAAACTGGACCCAGCTTAGGCTCTCTTACCTGGCGTTAAACGAGTACTTCAGAATAAAAAGTGACATCGGCATCAGGAAAAAATATTATTTTGCAAAGATGTTTACACAAACCTCACCTTTAAAAACAACCAGTGGCTGAATACAGAGGAGGCTCTATCATCCTAAACCCCAGTGTCTGCATCCTTCTGTCCTGTCTTTGTTGTGACAGAGCAGAGCAGTGTCCACAGTGTAACTGTGCCATTAGCAATAGCCGATGTGTATTCTGGACCTTATTTGGAGCATTGTTTTGTAGCATTTAAACATGTTCTTTCCTGTAGGAGAACCATGTTGTTAGTGGCCACGTAAATACAGTTCTTCATATCACATATTCTATAATACTGCCTTACTGAAAGGCATTGTACATGGGATACTTACCCGTTATCTTTAAAGAATGTAAAAGTAATACGTCATTCTAGATAAATTATGTATGTCCCAATCATTGTTACAATACTCAAGACTACTTTTAATTACAAAGTTTCCGGTAGGAAAAATGCAAGACTTTCCTTTTAGTTTATATGTAAGATAGTTTTCTGCAGAAAAATTTGCATTCAACTTCGAAAACTTAAATGATTCATACTGACTTTGTGAGCTTTGGGTCAAGTACTTTAGCTGGAAGAGTATCAAAAGCCTGTTTTGTGTGAGGTTTGGACCATTTAGATTTACATACATGGGAGATGAAGTAATGCAGAATTTGATGCTGGCATTCTATACATCACCATACTTAGATTATTTAAGTTTCAGCCATTTTATGTGTCTTCTCTGGTGTTCAGTTCTATTTTTTGTTTCATTTACTTAGATCTGATTTTCATAATCAAACGTAAGTTCATATTTTTGCAATCAACTTTCACAGATGTAGATCACACAAAATAAAGGAGTGCATGCCTAATTTCTCCCAGAGTCACTTTTCTTGAAAGTAAACATGAAGTTTATAAGGAAAAAAACAACTGAAATTCAACTAAAATCCATCTGGTGGAGTTGTGCTATAAGTTATAAACCTTCTGTGTTTCTAACGGCTATTCCTGTTGCCATTATCTACCTTTGTTCTCATACTACCCTTGACAACAAGGGAAACCAGATTTGTTAACTTTGTGGGTTTTGTCTATTCAGTCCATATTAAAATATTTTTAAACTGTTTTTGAAACTCTGTATTTAAAGCTACAGTTAGAAAGGACACCAGAGCACAGAGGCAAGAACCTTACCAAGACTGACTTTTAGGGTTTTGTACCAACCCACATTCCTACTTTGATTTGCAATCCCTTAAATTTGTTTCAATCTTCAGTTTCAAACAAAATAAAAGGCTGTTTTATTTATTGTGGAATAATTGGAAGCAGCTTTTACTGCACCAGGACTGAGGAACTCCGAAACTCTTAAGATGTTTTTAAACAGATTTCCTCTTTAACTTTAGGTAAGGTACATCAGACTTAGCCTGCTCATTGCAGAGCTGAAAGATGCAGAGCTGAAAGATGCTTGGGAAAGTAAGAAGGTCTGTTGAGTTCAGTACTGGGCAGTTTACAGATAGATGAAGACCAAGCATTTGGGCATTCCTAGTCAACTCCCTGCATTGCATTCCCTGACCACGTTTCCATACCATAAGGCTCAGCCTTTTAGATAGATGACTGTTACACAGTTTGTGTCCCTCAGGCTTGATTTGGCCAATTTTACTTCCATCCAGCCTCCTGCCATTCACAGAGGACATGAGTCGCTGAGTGCAGCTGCATGCCAGTCCGGAGAGGTGGGCTGTAGGGA